TCGAAGGCCTCAATCAACAGAAACCCGCTTCACGCACTGTGGCAGTCTCAATCAACCTGTCACAAGCTTTCAACTGCAGTCGGCATGATCAACTACTGCAGGACTTAGTCTCCCCTGGCCTGGTCCGATGACTTGCGGCTAACATCCATGGCCGCCTTGACCATGTTCTATTTTGCGGCGCTCTCTCTAAGCCCCGCTAACAGAAATAGAGCGCTCCTGATGGCTCTGTGCTGAGTCTGACGCTGTTTAACATCTGCATGCGAGAACCTGCGAAACTGGTACCGTACGCGGACGATGTTACGCTCTCCTGCCGGCATCATCACATCGAACAGGCTGCGCAGCTCCTCACGGAGTTCATGCCTGATTTTGAAAACTTCGTCACCCAGCGCGGAATGATGATCTTGGCAGCCAAGTCGTCTGTCCCTTTTTTCACGCTGGACCCGAAGGAGTTAAATCGTCACCCGGCCATCATCGTCAATGGTGAGTCCTTACTGCTCGTCCGTTAGCCCAAGCTCCTTGGCGTGCGTTTCGATCCACTTTTCACTTTCGCGGACAATGTAAGGAAGGTCGTGGGAAATGTGAGCTGCTACACTAAGATGCTCAAGGCTGTAGCGGGCACATCCTGGGGCTGCGCGAAGGAAACTTTGACAACTACATTCAAGGCGCTGGCCAAGCCGCACCTCATTTATGCGGCACCAGTCTGGTCGTCTACGATCAGCTCTTCCAGCGTCTGCCGCCTTCAATCAGCACAAAACATTGCCCTTCGCGCAATCGCGGGTTGCTATACAATTTTGCCTATCAATCAGCTTCATGCAGAGGTATCTGTCTTGCCGGTCGTCCCTCACAAAACACTCTTAGGCCAGCAGTTCTGCTGGACCTATTCACGATCCAGCCGTCCTAGTCACCACCGTTGCCACATTCCTGAACCCAGCCGCAAAGTTCGGCCGTCAATTCGAGCTCTCCACAAGGCAGCTATCGCCTTGTAGCTGTCGGATCTATCCGTTGATGGCTCTGCCACCATGACAGGCTTACGCCGTCTTCACCAAAGAGCCGTTGTCGAGGGAAAACGAGGTTACCATCCTCCGGTCCTTTTGGGCGGCGATCCACCTCCGATTG